TTTTTTATTTTTTAAAGACATTTTATCCAATAAATTTGGGTAAATGAATGAAAGTTTTTAAATATTTTAAATTTAAGGGTATTTTTGTCCATATGAAAAATTTGTTAAAGTTATCTTGTGTAATCTTACAAAATTCCAAATATAAGATGGGATAAATTTTTTATACAATTCAAAGAAGTGCCAAACATAGGGTGAGATTCATATTATTTTTTCCAATCCAGTCCTGTCTTATCTCATTATTTTTGTTTTATCCAGTCCTATCTTAACTTGCATCCCAAACATGCTGTTAAGTCAGGGAGTTGGGCTAGGGGCCTGAGGCCTCAAGCCCCCCCTAAAATATTGAAAAAAGTTTTTAGGTTTAATTATAAAATATCAAATTACAGTATATATGTTAATTATTAGGTAAAAAGGACTAACCTAAACTTATTTATCACTTATAACATAATTGATTGCTTAAACCCATAATTTTTTCTCCCAATTCAAAATATAACTAGACTATTCTTACACCTTTTCCTTTACTCAGGTTGTTCTTTTGCAATTACCTTTTTTTTTTTGAACATATGATGACAATGGATTTTATATATATATATAAGATAATTCTTTTTTTTCTTAAATGGTTAAATGTTAAATTTGGTCCCTCAACTTTAAGAAATGAACATTTTTGATCCCTCAACAATTTTTTGCACTTTTTTGATCCCTCAACTACAAGAAATGCACTCCGTTAGTCCTTCTGTTAATATGAGCCGTTAACTCCGCTTATATGGCATTTTTTATATTTTTTTGATGATGTGGAGAGCAAAGTGATGACATGGACAAACATTTTGACATTTAATATTACCGTGTGCCAAATCATATTAACATGTGTCAAATTCATTCAAATGGGTCCCACTTCATTAATAAAAAAAAAAATCTTTTGATGACATAACAAATTAAATGATATTTTTTATATTTTTTTAATAACATAATAAATTAAATTAAATATTTATCCGAATAAAAAATAATATCAAACCAAATTTTATTAATTAATCATCATTAAACTATAATTATTTATATTAATTAAAATTAAAATTCTAAATTAATTTA